CGAATAGGCGAACTTGCTATTTTGGGCTTAAATAGCAACGCTCATTTTGCCAATGGAAAAAGGGAAAAATTTGTGTATGCAATAAATTTCCCCAAAATCTTTCTGAAACCTAGCGAAAAAAAATATATTTCACTTTTTTTGTTTGTTTTAAAAATTATTGTAAAAAAAATCTAAAATATATTTAGTTGGGTTAGGCTAAAAAAAATTTGTTTTTGTTATAAAAAGTTAGGTAATTTTTCTAATTTCCCCTTTTGGTGCAAATTAAAAAATTTTTACATTAACTTAATCAAAAAAATATATCTTTAAACTTAAAAAGAGAAAATTTTAGAAAGGTTTTAAATTTAAATAAGTTTTTTGCTTTTGATCATTTTTAATTTTCGGCACGACATTTAATATATAATTATATATATAATATATATTATATATATATATTTATTATATATTTTTTTAAATAAAAATTATATAATAATGGGGGGGGAGGTCCCCACCTCTAAATGTCAGGGGCCCTACCTCAGAGAAAAGAAAAACCCTTGCTTCAGGGAAAACTAAAGGTTTTTTACCTGAAGTGTTTGAAATTTTTTCTCCTACCCCCCCCTATTTCAAGTATGTTTTTTTAAAAAGACAAAAATATATTGGCCAAACATTTTACAAAAAAAAACAGGAAAAAATAAAAAAAACATAGGTAAATCAGAGTTTCACTCGAATACTTCGTCCGCTCCCCCCGGTGGGGCCGCGTGCCCAGAAATGCTGCGGGGATTTTTCCCCTCTGGATCGCAACACTGAGTCTCTAAAAGAAAGCTGGGGCGCCCTGTGGTCCTTTGGGTTTTTTATGGCTTTTCCCCAGCTCTTTGAGAACTTTAAAAGCACGCTTGCCCCCCTACTCCCAAATTTTCTCCGACCCCATTGGAAATTTAATTATTTGCAAGGGGGAAGGTCTTCATTTTTCGGATCTTTGGGTTCCCTGTGGCTGGCAGCTCCATCCCTTTTCCCCTACGGGGGTAGGCAAGTGGTTCTGCCAAAGTGGCAGACAGGTGTTCCCACAATCTGCTTTTCCCTCCTTCCAGGGGTACATAGTGGCGTAAAATATATTAATGAACTTGGGAAAAAAATTTAATTAATACATGGACAAATAATTTTTAAATTTTTTTGGGTAAATGTTTGTGGGGGTGAGTTGGCAAAGGCCCTACCCAAGTTGGGTCGGCGCGGTCAGGTGTTTAAACCCTTGTGGGATTTAAAGGAGGTGTTGGCCAACCCTTAAAATAGCTTCTTGATGCTTCACTTTCATATTTCCTTGATAATGTGAGTAGTCCGAAAGCGCTTGGAATTTCTCCTATTTTTTTCAGAGTGGTTGTTTTGCATAATATATATATATAAAATTATATAAAATTATATTATATATATATTTTATATATATGTAGTAGGTTGGTAGACAGCAACCGTCCAGGGAGGTACTACCGTCCTGCCAAGTGAGTGTAAAACGGAAGCCTGTACTTGTTTTACATGATGGTAGGATTGTTGATGTCTATTCTCTGTCTCATAAAAATGCAAGATTTCAGGTACGTCTTACTACTTCTACTTACACTTAGGTCACACTACACATACATGTACATGCATTTGTGTATACACCCTTCTGGGTTTTCTTCTATTTTCTTACTAGTTCTTGTTTTTCTTATTTCCTCTTATCTCCAATGGGATATGGAACAGAATTCTTCCTCCGTAAGCCATGCGTGTTGTAAGAGGCTACTAAAATGCCGGGAGCAAGGGCCTAGTAACCCCTTCTCCTGTATAAATTACTAAATTTAAAAAGAGTAACTTTCGTTTTTCTTTTTGGGCCACCCTTCCTTGGTGGGATACGACCAGCTAGTCGAAAGAATGACAAAGATTTTTGTTTGAACCAAAATTGAGAAATCTCATGGAACCTAACTTAAAATAGCGTAACTTTTTTTTAGATAAATCCTGTTATGTATAGCATTGGTCAGTTTAAATTTATTTCATATTACTTCAGAGCAATGATATATATTTTTGGTATGTTCAGAATGAATTTACCATATTTATGGCAAAAAAAAATCATTCTGCTAATTCGGCAAAGAACACCTTTGCCTAATGGGCCAAACTCGGAGCTAGGCAGCAGTCAGAATGATAACAAATTCCCAATCCCGGCAGCATACTCCACCAATTTTCAAAAGTCTAAATCTGCTCACCATTAAGAACATCCACACTTATTCATGTACCTACTACATACACAGAACATTACACGCAAACATAAACCCTCCACTCAAACTTCTCCTCACTAACCTTAACAGGACACACGACCATAACACAAGACACAGATCTCTTTTTGTCCATATCACATTGTGTAAAAACTCTATGCACATAAAGGGCCCCAAAATATGGAAATCATTACCAGAAGATACTAAAGTAAGCCGGTCTGAGAATCAATTTAAGACTCTTCTCAAAAGCCGCTTAATCACCCTCGACTAAATGCT